TTTTCAAATAAATAGAAATAGACAACATGCAGTTTATAAAATACAAACAAGTGACCTTTAAGATTCACATGTAAGATTCACAACCTCATAAAAAAATGAAGGAAATGCTCATTAAAAACAAAACAAAAATGAATGAAAAAATAACGGGAAAAAAATAAAACCACAATGGGGTAAAGACCAATAATTAAATGTAGAAATTCTAATAGGTAGAGAGGGCCATGCTCTGTATTACTGAATATGCAGTGTAAAACTTTTCAAGTAATTTTTAAAAATTACATAACTATTATCATCATCAAAAGGACCAAACCGATTTCATTTTCTATAAATTTAAATCCTGTATCATTTAATCTGAAAAAAAAGCTACAGAAAATTTCCCTTGACATTTGATTCATATCTTAAGTTCTTGTGAGTAAAATATGTTGGGCTACTATTAGATTTCTAACCTCAATATATAATAGGATATAACAAACCATCAAGACAGTACATAGATAAAAACAATAACCAACTAAAGAACAGAAAAGTAGCGATGGCCCACTCACAAAAGCAAAGCGGAAGGTCAAATGCACATAAGCAGTATGAAGCAGGCAAATCCATAAGATGAAAGCCCTGACACATCCCCAAGGGACACAGGAGTGGATGTGAGCAAATGGGAAGACATCCCGTTCTTCAGTAGGATGAAAACCTCAGGAACATGGCAGTCCTCCCACAATCCCCATAAGAATGCATAGTTTTATAGTCCTAAATTTTTAGTTGATACTAAAATTGAAACTAAGGTTCAACTGGAATACATAATTATGCAAGAACTGTTAGAAAAACAGTGGAACAGACAACTTATATGGAAGAATTAGCCCTACTCGATATTAAAACGTGCTATAAATCCTCTATAGTTAAAGCAGTGTGGAACTGCTGTGTGAAGAGTTAGACTAACTAGTGGGATGAAATATAAAGGCTAGAAATAGAAGGAAATTGAATATATCAAATCACTGGGGGAAAAAAGATGAGGTGCTCAATAAATAGTAATAGAACAACTGCGTAGACACTTAGAAAAATATATAATTAGATCTATAAAGAATAATAGCCAAACAAAATCAGAGAGCTAAATGTAAAGCATGAATGCATGCAAATTCTAGAGAGGAATATAGAAGAATCCCTTTATAACCAGAGTGTAGAAAAGAGCTTTCTAACATAATTCAGAAGCCAGAAGTAATAAAAGGAAAGAATGATAAATTCAACTACATAAAACCACATCAACACCATAAGCAAAGTCAAAATTCAATGACAAACTAGAAGAAAATATTTGTAACATATAAAGGATGGATACCTCTAATACATAAAAATCCCTTGAAACCATAGGGAAAACGGGGGGAAAACATGATGAACAGACATATACAAACAAGAGAAATAGCTTTGAAACTTGATGAAAGATGTTCAATCTCACAAACTAAGAAACACATTGCAGGGGCAGTGTGTTATTTAATATGGCTCTCCTAGCCAAAATTTCTAGATCCCAGCAAACCAAAGGACCTTTCCCATATTGATCTGGTAAGAAGGCGGGGGAAGATACTGAGTGGTTGTGAACAGGCTTCCCTGGAGTGCCATCCTGCTGTGTGTAAAATGAGCCCTCTGCGAAGCAGGATGAGGAATCTCGGAAGTGAAGTGCATCATCTGAACCCTAGATTCCTGCACAGAGCACTCCTGGGTCCAGAAGACAGCTATAACCTCAGAGGAGCAGCAACAGAACCAGGAGCCAAAGCAGGGCATAGAGCGGTGGACTTTCCAACCCACAGAGGAGGTTAAGGTGAAAGCTTGTGTGAGGAGCCTGGCTTAGAGGGTGGGTTGTCTCTGGTCACTTCACTGGGGAAGTTGGTCTTGCTGACCCTTGGAAGTGGAGCTGAGTGCTTTGGGGTTGAAGTTTACTGGAGTGGGGTATCTCTACGTATTTAATTTAGGGAGTTGGGTTTGCTGCCTTAAGGAGCTTGAGCTGAACGCCTTCAGGTTGAGGCTTGCAGCAGAGTGATGTGCCCCATTTGGGCTTTTATTAGCAGATCTGAAACTGTGTAACATGTCCTGATAAACACTACCCTGAGCATTTCTCACAGACATTACAACTGAACTTCCTTAATAAATTCTTTTAATCAGGAATTTTGTCTTTGAGTTTCAGTGTAGCTATTGCAATGGATATTAGAATCCAAAGAATTGAAACAGAGAGCATTAATTAAGACAGTGCACACATGTTAAAACCGTCATTTCTTATCTATCACATGCACTGGCCCAAATGGAAAAAATATGAAAACATATTGTGTGTGTGAGGCTGTGGAGAAACATATACTGCTGGTGAGAGTGTGAATTGGAACCACTTTTTATGGAGAGGAATAGGGTACTATTTAACATAATGACACCTCTGGGGATACTATATATTATGGATTAAATTGTGTCCTCCCAAAACAAGTGTTGGTGTCCTGACTCTGATACTTGTGAATGTAATGCTGTTTGGAAATAGGGTTTTCTGTTATATTAATGACATCATAACCAAGTAGGGAAGGTTCAAAATGGAATGAATCACTTTGGCAAAGTTATAAAAGGAGCAGCTTAGACGGGGGGTATGGGGGGGTGGGTGTGTGTGTGTAGAGACAGATCTTCCAGAAGCCAAGAAACCAAGGGATGCCCAGCACTACCACCTACAAGAAAGGACTTGACAGGTGCTGAGCCTGATTTGGAAATTTAGCCTCCAGAACGATGAGAAAATAAATCCCTGTCCTTGAAAGTCACAAGTACCACTTGTGGTACTTCTGGTAGAGTAGCACTAGGAAACTAAAGTACCATACCTGACTGTAACTATTCTCCGTCCATGAAAGACTTAGAGTTAACATAAGTATAGTGCTTAGAATATGACTGAATCAACAGGGATTAAAAAACAACAACCCACTGCCATCGATTCTAACTCATAGCAACACTCTATAGGGCAGGAGTCCTCAAACTGTGGCCCCGGCCCCCGGAGGACATTTATCCAGCCCGCTGGGTGTTTTTGCCCCATTTTGTTTTTTTACTTCCAAATAAGTTATGTGCAGTGTGCATAGGAAATTCTTTATCGGTTTTTTTTAAACTATAGTCCGGCCCTCCAACGGGTCTGAGGGACAGTGAACTGGCCCCGTTTAAAAAGTTTGATGACCCCTGCTATAGGGTATCTAAGACTTGCAAATCTTTACAGGAGTAGACAGACTCTTTTTACTCCTTTGGAGAAGCTGGTGGGTTTGAACACTGACTTTGCAGTTAGTAGCCCAATGCCTATCCCATAAGCTACAAGAAGGGGGGGGGGGAAGCAGCTGAAAGAGAATGCAAAAGAAAGATATACTAGATGGATTTGCCCCATTTCTCCCAGTCTTGACTAGACGCTTCATATTTTAATTCTATACTACCATTTCTCCCCTTGATACCACTGACATTTGGTTTGGATAATGTGACCCTCAGCAGTAGTCCTGCCCTCTATATACTAGACACCAGCAGCACCCATCCTAAATGGTGCAGGGGGACAAAACTAGCATTAAAGCAAACCCAAATGTAGCTCATCTTCTCCAGACGGCTGAATGCCAGTGATGATGAGAAGAGGGGCAGGGAAATACTTTGGTTCACACAAGGAGTTTGCTTTCTTTATGAAGGGCTCCTGCTGCCATAGAATTTGGTGGTCAAGGTCATTGGCTTGAGACTTTCATTGTCTCCATTTGAACTTAGGTTGAGCAGCCTCATCTTTTTCTTTAGGGGAAAGCAAGAGTAATTGTGCCATTATGACTCGTAAGAAAGAAATGATAGAATACAAGTAAACTGCCAAAGCTCTGGTACCTAGTAAGTCCTCAATTAATGTTGACCATTGTTATATAATCTAGATCATAGATTACCAAACTTATCTGGCCTACGGCCCCTTTTCAGAAAGGAGAAAAAAAAATTACTCAGTGCCCTCCAGGCAATTAAAAACGTTTGTATTATTGCCCATAACAGAGGATAAAATGTAGGTATCTGCTTTTGCAGCCCCGCCCCCACTCCCCACCCCTGTCATTGTGGTATCCCCAAAGGGGGCAGTATTGTTCACTTTGGGAAAGACTGATTGAGAAGATCCTCTTTCCAACCTAAGTCCTCAGGTCCTACTGATTACTCTTTATCCCAAATTCCTAACTCTCCACATGACTTATTTCTCTTTCAAACCCTGTAGTGTTCCTACACTTTTTCGTTGATGCAGCTTGCCTGAGCTGGCAAGACTTTGGTCATGAATTTCCAAAAATCTTCCTTAACCATGTCAGACTACTGCTGACAAAAATGGATGGATGGACACAAATCATGATCAGAAGGCATAATATTTATGCAGAGAAAAGGGTGTAACAATCAGAGTGAAAGCAACAACCCAAGGTCTTGATCAGCAGTTCTCAACCTGTGGGTCACGACCCCTTTGGGGGTCAAATGACCCTTTCACAGGAGTCTCCCAATTCATAACAGTAGCAAAATGACGGTTATTAAGTAACAACGAAAATAATTTTATGGTTGGGGGGTTTAGCACAACACGAGGAACTGTATTAAAGGGTCGTGGCTTTAGGAAGGTTGAGAACCACTGATCTACATTGTGCTCTTTCTATTACGGCAAAATCACTGCTGTGATTGATATATTAATTCAGCATTTTAAAACAAAACAAGGGGATTTCTCAAACTGAATGAAATCCATTTGAGAATTTTTCTTTAAACTCAAGGTATTCTTCTGCTAAAATTAGAAAAATTTCCAAATCATTTACTATAGGTTATTTATAAATAATCATCTATAATGATTATAAACTCTCCAGACAAGGTTGTTGGGTATCTATTGAAACAGCAAAGATTAAGCATGAATCAAGTCCTAGAAAAGCAAAAATGACAAGAACCTACAAAACAGAAATTCAGAAAAGAAAAAAAAGTCATTACTATGAGAAAAGTTTGATTGGTGTCTATGCACAAATGTATAAAAAATTATTATACCTCACCTGTAATTTCTGAGTCAAAGAATCCCTTTGTTCTTGTAGTTCTCTAGCATTATCAATTTCTTGTTTTAATCTTTCTATTTCCTAGAAGAAGTAGAATAATGCAATTCATTTCACAATAACTTTACACTCTATCAAGGGAAGGGGAAGCCGTATGTTTCTCTGAAATTACTGTCTCAGTTCTAGGAAACAAAGATGGTTCTAAAAGCATCTATTTATTTGGACTTTTAGAGGGAGGAATTCATCCAATAATGAACCTCTTCAGAGATGTGCTGTCTAATTCAGTACAATCTTGAGGAATAAGTGAGTCTACCTTGGTGGCTGGGACATAGCACTGCTTATAAACAATTGTCTGAATTCAGTGACATTTAAGACTGCTTCCTTCAAGCATGAATGTACTAAGGTGAATGTACTGAATGTGAATGCCCTTCAAATGAATGTACCGAATGTGTTGACTGGAAGTAACAGCTTGTAAAATTCATTTAGCTTCTAGTGGTTTTTATGTTGATCATACAAATATAGTGCTCACAAAAGACAATAGTAGTGCCTCTGTCTAATTGTAGTACCACAGTTCCTAACAACAGAAACAAGGATAGGGGGGAAACGAACATGCTGAGTGCCACTCCAGGAAAATATCCTCCTAAAAAATTATGGAACTTTTCTGTAGTATCTTTATATGTGACACAGACTCTATATGAGCTACATGAGCTGCATTACAGATGAGCGAAAAGAAGCAAATACCTCTTCCTTAACTTTCAGTGTTTCTTCCAATTCTTGTATTGTCTGATTCAATTCTGTCTTATGGGTATGCACTGCATTTGCTTGGCTACTGACACATTCTAGCTCAGTCACCTAAAATGAAATGAGAACACAGGTTACATTAAATGACAATTTCAAAGGCATCATAGAATAGAATAAATCATGCTCTCCCCTGTAACCCAGTCCCCAAATATGTTTGGAATCCTGACCCCTAGAGCTGTAGATGAAATTCTCTTGGAAATGGTTTTCTTTGTTATGTTAATAAGGTCACATCCAAGCAGGGTGGGTTCTAAATCTAAGTAATTCTTCACTATAACAAGGCACAGATTAGACACACAGAGAGAAATAGGAGGACAGATGCAGCTACAAGCCCAGGACTCAAGAGAGACCAGGGGTTACCAGATGCTGAAGTGGACAAGAAGAATTCTCTGTAGACACTAGAGTCTAGAGCCACACCCTGAATTTGAATCTAGAAGACCAGCCTTTTGAAAACTTTTCGTGAAAATGCAACACCATAATACATAGTTATTTGCCTCTTAAATCTCCAGTCTTCAAATAACTATTGGTTCTTAAAACTTGCTTAGTGAAACTAGGAATTTTTCAAAAAAACCCTTCAAAACTGTAAAAGAATCTCAAAATATGCTGAACACATAATTTAAATCAGTCTGTTATAGAGTCTTCACATTGATAGTACTTATTGTAAAAAACAGTTTTTTTTTAACTGATAAGAATTTACTGAGGGGATAAGAAGCAATATAATAATTTTTTAATGAGAACTTGATTTTTTTGAGAGACAGAAGGGAGAAAGAAGGTCATTGTCCCTGAAAGTAGTATCACCCATAAACAGAGTCAATATTGATAGAAGTGAAAATAAAAACACACATCTGCATACATATGTACCACTCTGTTCCCGTCAGGCCCACGGTACAGTTTGGTGGACTAGTAAATAATAAATTAAGAAAGAGTTACGAGTAAACCTTTCTCCTCACATTTTCCAATGTTCAATTTTCCATAATTTCACATTCTGTCACTCTGCCTCGGTTACTCTCCATGCCTGCACTAAGAGCCTGCACAGGCACTTATCACTCATGTCAGAAAAAAAGCAAGACCTCCTGGTACACTTAATAATAACCTTTGCTTATCAATCTTCATTCCATAAACCTTTGTGTGGTTCCCCAGCTCCAAGCCTTTCTATGACCTCGTTAGTCCTCTACATTACCCCAAACCAAACTCATTGCCATCTAGTGCATGTGGACTCCGAGTGAAGGGTCACTATGAGTGGACAGGGTAGAAAGGTCCCTTATTGCTTAATATTTATTCATTTTCATTGTCCTCACCCCCCAAATAGAAGAAATTCCTTAAGGGAGTTCTAGTTCTGATAATTATGAAGTTTTTGTTTTTTTTTTTAATGAGACTAAGATTCCCACAGTTAATACAGACATTGGACAAAGTATAAAATCAATTGTTTGGTTGATTGCCTGACCATATCAGGCAAAAACTGAAAGCAAGCCATCATAGTGAATGAGATACAGATTTACACATGTTTTCTTAGAAGGCTCTTGCCAGTTACTTGGCTTTTAGTCAAACAGAAAACTTTAGTCATTACCCTGTAAAGTCTGAGAATTTTGGAATGTCTCAAAAAAAAAAAAAAAGGTGGAACAGCTAGGAACTGAAGAGTTTGTATGAAAAGAAGTCCTCAAATATGCATATAGACCCCACTCAATTTTTTCACTGAACCCGTAACTGACTGTGCAGGGTGATACCTAAGGATGAAAGCCAGCTGAAAAGCTAAGCAGTGGTAACCAGTGCTTACCACAAAAAAGACAGCATTAAGTTTGAATCCTGCCAAATCAGAGAGTCTTGGTAGAGATCTCAAGCTTCCCACTGAAACCTCAGAAGTTAAGACCTGAGACTTAAAGACACAGGATGACAAGAGTCACTCCAGGGCTAAGGGCAGCATTGAAGCGAACCTACCCTAATGAAGCCTAAACCCATGTCTCCACAAATTTAAGGGAATTCACAAGTAACTGACCTGCTGAAACAAAGCTCAACACTACTGAGAACAAGATAACAGAATCTACTATTTCGTAACTCATTTACAAAGATCATTACACAACTGAAAATGACTAGACATGTGAAGAAACAGGAACATTTCATCTGTAATTAAGGTAAAAATCAGTCTGTGGGTAGGACTCACAAAAGATGAAACAGTGGAATGAGAAAAAACAACAACTTTGAAGTAACTATAATAAACATTGAAGAGTGAATAAGATAATGAATAAGGCAATACATTTCATGAGATTTAGAAATTATAAAATAAGAGCCAAATGAAATTATTGAACAGCAAAATGTAATAGTTGAAATTAAAAAAAAACAATTCAATAGGCTTAACAGTATATTGTTCACAACAAAATAAAAGATCAATGAACTTGAAGGTTGGACAATGGAAATCACTCAAGCTGAACACACAGTGAAGGAGCAGAGATGGAAAGCAAAATGAACAGTATTAATTAGACAGTGCTAAGGAGTCTAACATATGTGTAAGTAGATCCCAGAAAGGCAGGAGAGAGGTAATAGGGCAAAAAAATAAAATAAAAAAATACTAAATGTGATTTTTAAGACGAGGGTAGAGTAGGGGAGAAGAGGAGGGTGTGGCATTCCATAGAACCAGTACGCTCAGTAAGTCTTATAGGATAAATGAAACACTAATACTGAGAAATTATATTTCTAATTAAATTGTTGGAAACCAGTAATGAAGTTAAAAAATCATAAAGACAAATGGGGAAAACTGACACATTATGTACAGAGAAAATAGCAACCATAATGACTTTTTACGAGGAATAATGGAGACCAGAAGACAAAGTACACAGTGAATGTGCCTCAAGGTCTTTAAGGACTGCAAGTTCAAAAAATTCTAAAATTCTATAACCAGCACAAAATCTCTTTCATAGATGAAGGTGAAATAAAGATATTTTTCAACATACAAAATCTCAGGAGAATCTGTAGCCAGTGTATGATTACTTAAGTGCAAAAAAATGCTTTAGGAAGTTATCCAAGCTGGAAGAAAATAACACTTGATGGTAATTTAGGTCTACAGGAATGAAAGAAGAGTAGAGGAAAATATAAAATATGTGAGTAAATTAACATTGCCAATTTTCTTTTTCTACAAATATTTTTCAAACTATGTTCTTTTAAAAAAAATAACAATGAAACAAAAAAACTAAAATCAACTGACTCAATTTAACTACATCAAGTATCACAATTAATGTTTTCAACAATTATATAGTATATAGGATTATTTCCAGCTCAAAAACGAAAATACCATGTTTGTGCAAAGAAAGGAACACTTAACCAAACATCATATAGTTAATAAGTAACAGAATCGGAATTTGAAATGAGATCTTTCTTCTTTGATATGTAAACCTGTATAATCTTCATTCCCATAAATTGTGGGAAATAGTTTTAACCAAACAGCCACATAACACAACTTGTTTATGTTCTGATAACTGATGGTTGTTCCCTGAAGGTGTCCCTGTGCTGAATCTACATGCAATTGTCTTCTGGATAAGGAAAGCTGTTGGCTTAGCTGCAGATTCCTATGGACAACAGCCCGGAACATACTCGCTTGTGCAGGCGTTCTGCTTCCTCCTGATATGCAGCAAGCTGCTGTTTCCATTGTTTCACATTGGCAGTGGACTCCAACAGGGCTGCAGTGAGTTTGGCATTATTTCCTTTGAGGGTAGCCAGTTCAGCCTCCCAGTGTTTGCTGATGGCTGAACTAAAATACAAGAAAACAAAAGAAAATTCTCTCCATTACATTGAATATTGTTACTTTGAAGAGACAGCAGAATTCAATTCTATTATAGGATTTATAGTCCCAGAATGTTTCAAAGACAACCCCCCCCAAAAGTAATAAAAGCCAGACAATTTCACTGAAATGTTCCTTCTGAAGTAAACCTAGCAAATAAAGAAATATAAAAAGCACAAAATTGTAGGTTTAACATGGAATAGTTTCAACCTTCATTATGATGGACGTAGGCAGCTACAGGAGAGTTTCTACCCATTTTCCTTTGAGGAATAAACAATGCATCCTGAGGAATACCTTAAAACAAAAGCTTAACAGGGTACTATGATCTTCAAGAGCATAAAAGCCCAGAGAACAATTTTAATTCAAAATGAAACTGCAATGTCAGTAAGGTTTGGGTTAAGTAATATAGCATTTCCTTTTAAATTGATTCATTCAATCTTATTCTGTATTTTTAAATGTCAGAAATATAACAATTTGCTCTAAGAAACTCATTTCATATGTGATGGGCTAGATCTAGAAATTGACTCTAATGGCTTAATTTTAGATATAATTTCAAGGTCATGTATAGAACAAAATTAAAGCAATCACCTTTTTCCTCATTTAATGTTCTACTTGATAAGTTACCCAAGTTAAGTACCTCAACCAAGACCATTTTCTATTACAAAGACAATTAAATTAATTGGGAAGACCCCTCTCTTGAAAATTCCTTTCTTAACTTTCCAATGAAGAAAGAAATGCTTCATTTGGAAGAAGAGGCTATTGCCTTTTCTCATTATTGAGTAGTCTATTTCTATTAGTGCAATTCTACTACCCTTGTCCCACTAATTAACTAGTGATTCTTATAGCTTTCTTTAAACACCATTTTTTGTAGCTGTTAGGCCATTAACACCACAGAACAAAATATGAATCATTTAAATTCTGATGGATATATATATTTATAGCAATTTAAATATATATAATATAAAAGAATGTATGCACAATTTCCAACATCAAAAATTCTAAAGCTCATCAGCAGCACATCAGATGTACTGGTACCATAAAACCCCCAGACATGATGCTGTACTTAGAAGGATTGCATAATCTCAACGTAATCATGAGAAAAATAAGGCACAATTCTCAATGTAATCATAAGAAAACATCATGAAAACCTAATTTGAGGTTATTCTACCACAAAACCAATGGGTACCTTCAAAAATATCAAGAAAAAGAAAGAAGGTAAGACTGAGGAACTACTACTAAATGAGAGACTATGTAGAAACTCAGGGGTCAGAGTTGGCTCAGTCGTAAAATTGTCGCCTTTCACATGGGAGAGCTGGGTTTAATTCCTGGCTAATGAACTTCAAGCACAGCTGCCACGTGTTTGTCGGTGGAGGCTTGAGTGCTCTGCTGATCATTACCAGGTGCCAGTAGTTTCTAAACTAAGGCACATTAGGGGGGAAAAAGACACATTAGGAAGAAAAGGTATAGAGATGTACTTCTAAAACTAGCTAATAAAAACTCTGGTTCAAAATGGTCTGATCAGTAGCCAATCATGGGGATGGCCTGGCAAGGTGCAGCATTTTTCTGTTGTGTTTGCGGTCAACATGAATGAGGGGGCCCATTCGACAACAGTATCAAAAAAATAGAAATAATGTGCAATGTGGGATCCTGAATAATAGAATTCTGCAACAGAAAAGGGACATAAGAGAAAACTGATGAAATTCAGATAAGGTCAATCCTTTAGTTACGAACCACCGCCACAATCAATTCTGACTCACGGCAACTCTACAGGATGGAGTAGCATTGCTTCTTAGGGTTTCCAAGACTGTAAATCTTCCTGGAAGCAGATAATCTCATCTTTCTCCCATGAAGCAGCTGCTGGGTTTCATTTGCCAACCTTATAGTCAGCAGCCAGTGCTAAACCCATAGCACCAACCAAGCTCCTTACTTTAGAATTGCATCGATGTTATCAGTGTTAAATTTCTAGTTTTAACAAGTGTATGTGATTAGGTAAGACATTAACATTAAGGGCGGTTGGGCAAGGGCAATATGAGGACTCTGTGCTGCATTTGCAACTTTTCTGTAAGTCAAAAATTAGTTTAAAATGAAAAATTTTAAACTTTTTTTAAAGTTCACTGCTTAAGAAAATTTCATCAGAACGTGAAAGGGCAGAATCCAACAATATGCTAAAGCTATTAATTTAACAACCCATTTCCATCCTCGAAAATAAAGTTCCTCTCTATTTCTTCTTTTGTGGGATGAAGGTTTAGATTCAGATATGCCAAGCAGAAACATGCACCAATTCAATCTGCTAAATGAAATATAGGTTTTTTAAAAAAACTACCTACTAGATTTTCCCTTAAAGAGATAAGATTTATTTAAGGGACCCTTCCATCTGATTTTCTGCCATGGGGTACTTACAAGTGACAACTGAAATCTTACTGAACTAATTTAAACCCTTGAAACATGCAGACATGAAATCCCTTTAAGAGCAAAGCAAATAAAAAATGACTTGGAGCTTATAGTTCTAAAATCCATTTGTTAAAAGTCACACAATTATAAACAGGATTCCAATTGTCTTTAACAGGAAAAGGAACAAAATTGAGTGTGGTTCTGTACTTTGCTTCACTGCGTTTTATTCTGTTCTCTCACACTCATTTCCATTGGGTCAATTCTGACTCACAGCGACCCTACAGGACAGGACAGAATTGCCTCTGTGTGTTTCTAAGACTGTTAACTCTTTATGGGTGTAGCAAGCCTCACCGGTCTCCTTAGAGTGGCTGGTCGTTCCACATTGCTGTCCTTGAGGGTAGCAGCTCACTGTGTAACCACTATGCCACCAGGGCTCCTGATTCTATACTTTACATAGAGCAAAATCCACGCAGAATAAAAAAATCTAAATCTGCAACTCAGCCTATATTACACTTAATTCAATCATTTATGAGACCTTGGACAGTCATTCTGACCCTCAATTTTCCTATGGAAAAAGAGAGTAATATAGATCCACACTGTCCAAATGTTAGCCATTAAGTTGCATGATTCTATTTTGTGCCCAACGGTCACATGTGGTTAGTAGCTACTATATTAAACAGTACATTTTGGGGAGGAGACAAGCCAGTCAGGGTGCGATATAGCAACGACGAAAAATACAACTTTCTGCTAGTTCCTAAATATTCCCACCCCCACCCCCACCCACTCTCATGATCCCAATTCTACCTTGCAAGTCTGGCTAGACCAGAGGATGTACAGATAGGAACTGGAAACACAGGGAATCCAGGGCGGATGATCCCTTCAGGACCAGTGGTGTAAGTGGTGATACTGGGAGGGAAGGGGGAGGGTAGGCTGGGAAGGGGGAACCGATTACAAGGATCTACATATAACCTCCTCCCTGGGGTATGGACAACAGAAAAGTGGGTGAAGGGAGACGTTGGACAGGGCAAGATATGACAAAATAATAATTTATAAAGTATCAAGGGCTCATGAGGGAGGGGAAAAATGAGCTGATGCCAGGGGCTTAAGTGGAAAGCAAATGTTTTGAGAATGATGAGGGCAATGAATGTACAAATGTGCTTCACACAATTGATGTTTGTATGGATTGTGATAAGAGTTGTATGAGGCCCTAATAAAATGATTTAAAAAACCCAAAAACAGTGCAGAAATAAACAATCATTGCAGAAAGCTCTATTGGACAGAGCCATCCTAGATAATCTCTACCTTTCTGACGGGCTTTTTAATTCAATCACTAGTTTTGTTCCTTCACCCCATCCCCCCAAATATCCACACCACACATCCTACCAACCCCATCTTTCTAGGCTGAACTACATATCTCTTGTTTTAGCCATGCTAGTTTTTTTTTCTTTTGTGATATCTCTTTTCTCCAAAATTCTCATTTTCTATGCATTTCTCCCCAGACTTTCTATATTCAGATTCTTGTCTATAAGACTGCATTCGTCTTCTTGATTGGTATCTTCTAGTAATATCACCTATCCTTCCACTTTCTAAAGCAGCCAGTACTTGCCAATCTGAACAGTTGTCTTCCATAAGGAGAGAGTCTAGAGTGGAGATTGAACAGTGAGAGAAAGCCCTTTAACAATCCAACAAACCAAAGCATAACTCCATTCATATGATATCCTGGAAAAGGAAAAACCATAGGGACAGATCAGGGGTTGTCACGGGCTGAAAGAAAGGCTGACCATCTAAGAGCATGACGGAATTTGTCGGTAGGATGATAGAACTCTTATTTACCTTAACTGTTTAGTTATACAATGCTATGAATTAGTGTATTCATAAAGATGCACATCAGAAAGGGTAAGTTTAACTCTCTCAATCAAAAATAAAGGGAAAAAAATCTAGGAACTCCTAGATGCTCTTTCTGGGAGGATTACGCATAATTAGGGGACCTGGAAAGTCAGGTTTCCTTAGACTGGTAGAACGGAGTCTATACTGCTCATGCATGTTTGTGTTTGTTGGCATGGGAAGAGTCTGGGTGGGCAGGAAGCACAGGGTAGTTACATACAATATCACGTCAAAATAAAAGGAAGGAGGTGAATGGGCAACTGGAGATGGTGTTAAGATGTAGAGCAGATGGGGCAAGGAGGAATGAAAAGGCAGGGATACGCAGAAATGAATGGGATACTGACAGGGTGTAATGAAAAAGTGACTTTGGGCAAAGGAAGACCAGAGTGAGACCTCGGGTTAAGAAGGGGGCTGGGGGAGGAAGGTACAGTCTTGCTACACTACAGATTTCTATTTACTTCATTTCCACGAACATGCCTAACTCTTCGGATATATTAAGTAGTGAGAAAGGACTATAGATAAGCTGCCCAATGAACTCCTAGAAACTTTTTTCTTCCGTGCTATATGCAGAAGCCCAATGTTCTACTGATTGTATTAACACCAGAAAATAACTGCTGGAGAAAATTTCTCTATCAGATCTTTTTATGCATATTATGCATAACAATTATGTGCAACAGTATAATAAGCCATAAAAA